CAGGTTGAGTGAGTCCAGTCACCATCGACAGATTACAGACCGATGACAGAGGAACTTTTACTTCCAGTTTAATTTGAAAATCTGTTATCTTTTCTACATCCACTCAGATGCACATATTACCATATTTCTTTTTGAATATCGTGTTATGTTGTAAACAAATAATTGCTCATCATGTGTGCTCACTTTGACAGCGCCGTCACTAATCATTTACACTTGATTCATTCTCCGGGTTTTATTGACCTGTCATCAATTCAGTGATTACAAGCAATGGACAAAGTGCAGGATTTGTTGTTTTCTTTTCACATCACTATTTTTTCATCTCACACACTTGTCACTGTGTTGTGAAAGAACTCTCTGAAATTGCAGTTTGTGTCATGTTGCCATAATTTTATCCACTGCTGATTTGGCTGAGGTTCATCTTAAAGCATCAGCTTTTTCACTGCCTGCCTTGCATTTTTTGCTCCCACAGGGCATGTACACACTGATGGCTCGCTGTGAGGAGTTGGATCGTTCCATGCAGCCCATACACACCCTGGCTGCACAGATTCGTGACATCAAACGCACCCTGGATGCTCTGGAGGCAATTTGCAAGTAACCCCATCTTCCTGGTCCAAAAGCACATCCCAGCTGCAAAGATCCAACATCAAGTAACTTGCAGGTAGCGCACACACACACTGCAGTGAGGATTACGTGCTCCCTGGAGTCCTGGAAATATTGCTACTAGGCATGCTGGATGATTACTGCTCATAGTACCCCCACATTTTCATTGTCTGAAGGTGACCATGTTTGTGAGATTTTAAATGAATTGGGCTTGATTTGCTCATGGGGCTGAGATTTCTTTTAATGCAACATTACTTCCTTTAAGAAAATCTCACAAGTTAACCCTGTTTAGAGACACTTGGTCCCTGAACACACAGACACATATAAATAAGATCCTTGAAGACATGGAGATAGACATCCTCACTTCCCGCCTGAACGCCCAAGGAGGAAATGTGTGTTGTTCTCCGTCCAGCCCATTTGGTTCCGCTTGCACTAACCTCCCCTCCCCACATGGGGGCAGTGTTTCTCTCCCTGCCTATAAGGAGGCCGGTATAAACTGTTGGGAAGAAGTGACTTTTGCACAAAAACAGTTTATTTTTATTCTTATGCAACAAAGATCGGATTTTCTTTGACTGCAAGCTGAATGAAAGAAAGGAAGCATCATGTTCGTCTGTATTTTTATGTTTATTTGTTAAAGTTTGACAGCATGCATGCTATTTCGCTGCTTGTTTGTGTCATTGGGAGGCGACCAGTACAGCCAGATTTATGCCACTGGTGGCCACTGAACAGCCCCACTAGAGCTTTTGGAGTATAAGCTCAAATGCTGCTTAAGAGTAAATGAAATATTTCATGTTTCCCATCAAGATTTTTTCTGACTGCCTATCATTTAGAAAAAAACTGGCAATAGTCAAATGGTAGGTCTAATTTTAAACCTGCCATCTCTGTAAGATGTAAGAGAATTCCAAGATGTTTTTAAGTACATAACCAGAAAAATATCTTAAATACCTGAACAGTATCAGATATTTACGGTTTGACTTTTAAATGTCATGAAAAGTGAATGCACAGTAGATAGACAAGCCACCCAGACCATTTTTTAATTAAATCTGAAACAATTTAAAGTGTTTTCACTTCCTAACATGTAATTGAATAACATAAAGTTGTCATTAATCAGACTGTGTTAATTCAGCCAGTTTAAAGAAATTATTAGAAGAGATTTTGAATCAATTTAATTTAAGATGGGGTATTGGTACTTTGGCAACCAACGACTTTAAATTAGCTGCTAATCTTCAGTGGATGAGTTAGATTTCGGTTTCAGCTCTTAACTGTCGGTTTTGCTCATGTGAAACAACTTGGCTTGAGTAGTGTCGGTGATGTTGTCTTATGTTGATACTTCCATCCCTGTTATTTTATGGATTATCCAAACTACCTACTGGATTGGTGGACTTTTGGATTTTTCATCTACAATACCTTATCAGAGTAATACTGAAAGCAAAGTAAGTACCCATACTAATGTTTAAATCTGCTGTATAATGTTTGAATGTCTTTTCAAAGTCTGAGCTTTGGAAGTGAAACATGGAGTAGCATTGTCTAAACTGTCACCACATACCGCTCTGCACCTGTTGTTGTGCTTTCATCACTATTGGAAAAGATCGTGTTATTGGCTTCACTAACAGCTCAGATTGCATTCAGTGTAAAATCTGCTCTCTGTCTCCTTGTCACTTGTCTTGACCTTGTCAGCAAAAGCTTGTGAAACCCGTTAAGGAAAATCTCAAAGAGAGACGAGGAGCATCATTAAAACAATTATTTTAAAGTAGCCCCAGCTTGTGACTCTCGTGTCTTAAATACACTCAGGTCACAGATGTCATCTTTCATGAACATGTGAAATTGAGACTTGCAGACCATTTTAACTCCATACCGTTGTTTCATAACACTCATCCCAATTCTGAAGGTATTTCCCAAATCCTCATAGACTTCTCTAACAATGCGGAATCAAAAATAATCCAGTCCAGTCCAGGAAAATGATCATTTTAATCAGTTTCTCAGGTCATACAGTTTCTTTTCACTTAAACAAAGATGGCGACAGGAAATGATGGTCTTTCTCGCTTTTTAAAAAAATGTTTTGATAAAAGTTGCATATAAATACATAAATATATTATTGCTAATTTATTTTTGAAAATTGAGTGAAATTATTATTGAAATTGTTTAAATAATACATTCACTAAGTCGAGCCCCTTTCACACATTGCCAGAGTGACGACGTAATTTCTGTCACTGTCTGTTTTATATGAGAAGAACATGCATAGCTGAGAAACTAATTAAAATGAACTAAGTGGATTATTTTTGACTCCATATCATTAGAAGAGTCTATGAGGGTTCAGGAAATACCTTCAGAATTTGGGTGAGTGTTATGAAATGACGGTACGGAATTAAAACGGTCTGCAAGTTTTAGTTTCACAGGTTAATGGAAGATCATCTCAAAGCTGGGGCTAATATTAAGGTTTATTGTCACCCAGGTTCCTGTGATTATACTGGAATTTACATAAACGCTTACAGCGCTGTAAAGATGTAAATGATCTTTTGCAGATAAAAGTAAAATTGTCCTGAGATTGGACATTTGGGGCCCTTGACATATTTTTGAGGTGAGAAAAAGGATCTTCAGGATCTTTCTTGTTCATAATATATAAATGTATGATTAATTAATTTTCCGTTGTACAATCAGATGTACCTGTGTACATATGGTCTCTTTCTGTAACTAAAAATGATTTAGATACCCTTTGTCTTGAGTGTATATTTTATGAAAAATAAATAAATTTACATGAGCTGCAAAAACAAGTATTTCTTTTTTCCTTATAGTATACCGCTTCAAGGAACAGTGAAGGATTTGGAGGGGGGAGGAAGCAGGCAGACAAACAATGCATAAATAAAAATATATATTCTGTATATGCAGGTTGCCTATGAAATAAAATGCTGTTTTCTGAGTTGGTGTGTCCTTTGAATGAAGAGATACTGCATTGACGTATCACCACAATAATATTTAAGGGATCCTTTTAAACAGAAGACATTATTGAGTTGTCATAGTGGGAAAAGCACAGGTGCTTCTGATGATATGAAGTTGTATTCCAGAGTCCCAGTAAGCAGTGAGAGTGCGTCAGCATGCTTAATACCAGGTCCTTGCAAATGAAAGCAGCTAAATAGCATTTAGCTGTTCTTAATTGTTGTTTACATCTGTGCTCTTCCTACTGTGTTGTATCACAAAGGCCTTTGTTGAATTGTGCAGTTTCACCAGAGGTCCGGCAGAAGATACTGTAGAGTATTTGAAGCCACCAATGTAAAGTGTGGATGGTTTTGACAGTATGCTGCATCTGTACGGGTGATCAGTATTAAAATATGTGACTCAAAATTTTAACAAAAACTCTGCACAAATTAAATTACTTTAAGGGTAGAATAAAAGGGTCGGTTCACCCCAATTACAAATGTGGTATCTCGCAGTGCCAATTATTTTGATTTTTATTTGTATGGGTTTAAAAAAAAAAGTCAGAGATTTCTACTGCAACACAATGGTCAATGGAATTTTATTTCTAGAAATCACAGAATTGAAAAGTGGACAAAAAATCCCTGTCTCATTTCAGAAAGTGTCCCATTTACTTGGTATAAAGTACAAACTGTCACATCTGTTGACCACATTACTTTTTATGTTTTATTTTATTCATTTTTTTTGTATAGTGAACTGGCCCTTTAACCCAACTTGTATATTTAATGACAAGAGGATCTCCTGAGTACACTAGGCTTTTAAGATTAAGAAATATTTTTGAGATAAAGCACTGACAAGTAAATGGAGAAGCAAAATGTGCAAAGACAATAAAACCTCATTGCAAGTTTTGGACTGCCTTCATTTTTGAATTAGATATTTTTTTATTTGACTTATTTACAACCATAACAAACTTACAACAACAATGAAATGTGCATGCGTCTGTGGTTGGGCAACTGATGTTGCACCGATAGGCCAGTCTGCAATTTTTCCTTTCCTGAAGAAAGTTTAAACACAGCCAGTAGAAACTGAAAAGGTGATGAGTGTTTGTACCACTGTCTCTTGGCACATCCAATGATAGGTTTGGTCTTCCATCTACATTTGCTTTGTGACGCTTTATTGAGTGTATGTTCAGCAAACCTGCAGCTAGCAGGGGTTCAGTGTCTTGCACAAGGACACTTCACAAGAGCCTTTAAAGCCTGGCCCTTCCAGGTGAAGGCTGGTTTATTTCACATTTTAAGTTTCCAGGCATAGCTTCCCAGCCAGCAGCAACAGTAGAACAGTCCCATCTGGGGCACTCAGCAGATTCATTCCACTGTCTGTAGCTACTTTGAGTGAAGGTGCTGGACTTCCACTGCTTCCTCTTAACTCAGTCACAGAGGCACCTTTTACTGTAGATGCTATAGTTAGAGAAGCAGTTGTAGTCCCCACTATATCTTTTTCTTCTACAGTTCCCTCAACAGATGTTCTATCTTTGGGGGGCTGCTGGTCTGAAATGCCTCTGTCTGCAGTCTTGTACCACTGGCACTGGAAATCTTTCTTCCATATCTCAGCTGGGTCTGGTTCAATTGGTTTAGCGTCTGTGTTCAGCTGATCTGTGGCTTTGGTTGCCTCTGCCTGAGAGGGAAGATAAAATAATATGGCTAAAATTCAAAAACATCTGGACAGTATTCTGTAGTTAAATCAATATTCATACTTTAAATTGTGTTGTAGCCCTATATTACCAAAAGCCTATCCTGAGCTTTGCAAAACGTGGAGAGTGTTCCCCAAGAATCGGTGTTTTTGTGTTCACTGGTGGAGGCTCAGTCTCCGCCAGATCATCCCTTGTTATGTCCCAGTTACTGTTTTCTTCTCTGCTTTCTTACTGTTTAAACAATTGGACTCCCTGCCGAAGTCACGCCTGCTTGTTTTTATCAGTCGTGACTTAAAATGAGTTCTGCTTCCAACTTTTCACACAGAGGGAACTTCTGTTTCTTTACAAGTCTTTCAGTACACAAGCTTTTGTAAATCAATAGCGGCTGAAAAAAGGGGGGAATCAAAGACGCAATCAAAGCTGTTCTTAAAAAGCTTTGATGTTTTCAGCCTCTCTCACCAGTTTCATATGTGTAAACCTTTCTGCGAGCGTGATTTGTCCATGGTTACCGCAGTTTGTTCCTCAGTAACTTCAACAATAAAATACAGTGTAAAATGCAGCTCCACCAAATGTTGAACAGCACATTTCCAAAACAAGTTCGACAAAGAACTGAACTTTATGACCTTCATATATGTGGGATTCATTACAGAGCAGTTGTGTTATGACTGCATAATGACAACAATCTGCTTTGATGATGTTTCCAGTGCTAGACCAAGGACAGAATGAGTCTGGTTTATATCTGAACAAATTGAAACATTCCTCTGTCTTATGGCTTATTTTAGGAGTAGGCGTCAGGCTTGTGCACAGCATTGCTGATAACTAGAATACAGTGCATAAGCAGGACTTTATTAAACTAGTACAAATAAATATTGAAATCTACTGTACTTAAATGTACATCCTCTCACCTTTTCTGGCACCTTCTCTTTCACTTTGGATGGAGATGGGAGGTGGATATAGGCAGTGCTTTCTAGATTTCGACGGACACATCTGCCCTTTCCTCGGCACAGAGAGACTGAGCAGAGTTGAGCTGCAGTGGTTACATTGATAGAGTAGGGTCCCAGGACTTTGCGGACAAACTCTGCCAGGTCCTGACATTCTCTCTGGGAAATGAACAGTTTGATGTAAACAGTTATATGGGTTGACTGATCACACTAGACACTGTGCCATAGCCAGATTGATACTGGATTTTTGAAGTTGATACTGGTATTTGTATTTCTGATTTGGGAGTTTTTAAAAGTCCAGTAACTATATTGTCACCAGTGAACAAAATGTAATGAGCATTCTAATTACAATCAAACCTAGTCTGACATTTCTGTATTGTGTTATTTGCTGGTTGACATATACTCTTGACAGATGATTTACATTTATCAGTCACAACATTCTTCCACTGTGTTGTCGTCCAGTTCTGATGCTCACATGCCCATTGCCAAGTGGTTTTAATGTTGTGTACATATCTGACTGACTTGTGAGTCTAGTTCCACTGTGTACATTTCTTTTATAAAGATAGGTGCAAGTTTTTTTTTTCTTAAAACATGCTGCATATTGATGAAGACGACAAACGCAAAGCATGCTTTGGAGATTTAAATAGTAAGATGAAAAGCATGGTGAAGCTGTCTTTATAAAAATATAATCCCAGGCAGAAAATTGTTGAAAACAATCATGTGCACAAATGCCAGTGCTTCAGGCAGTGTGCACACATACAATATTTATGTGCGTATGCCCTTTATTCAGATGTGTACCTCTGTCTTAGTCCCGCTTCTCTCCCAGATGACAACTCCGGCTGTTCCCATGGCAGCACTTTCTCCTATGGTGTTGACCAGGTCTGCCTGCAGAAAGAAAATGTAAGAGTCACAGCACAGCATGCTCCATTTCAGCTTTATGTTTGTCACTGCATGATGCAGCATATATTCCATTACCCTGGAAATATGAAGGTGTTTTTTTTTTTTCCACCCCAAATCCTACACATTTTATATAAAAATGTGGATCAATGATGAGAAAAGCACTTTTTCAGCTTTTAAATAGTCTCACATCCAAATAAAACCACAGCCACAAAATTACAGACAAGACATCTGTCTCTCTTCGCCTCTTGTTCTGCTTTATCATTGACCCAGATGTAGATATTAGACATATCAGATGTTGTATGACACCTGTGATAGGAAAGTATTAGTTGAGGTGTAGACGCTCTTGACCAGTGGGAATACAGGAAGATCAAACTCCGTCACAGGCAGAGATGATACTCGTAGTGCTTCTCTTATTTGACAGGATAAATAAAGCCTGGCTCCAGAGGTCCCACCCTAGGGAAAGGGGACATATCAAAACAGTTGTACAGTGAACTGCTTTATCTGCTGGGTTTACTCTTTACTATGTTGGTATGCACTGGCTTTGACAGGGAGGGGTTTTGTAACTTTTTATGAAATTTCACTGATGGACTAGACTTGGCATTTTTCATTTCACTGAATTTTAGGTGTGTTACTGGAACAAACCAGAGTTGGACATTAGCTTTCAAAACTTTTTTGACTTGATTTCTCGGGGGGGTGGGGGGCTCTAATTACTTTTGAAGACAGGCTTCTGTTCTCCCTAACTGGATTGTTCTCTTTATTATAATAGGTTTGGATTTATTTTGTTTGTACAAATAAATGATGATAAACTGAGGAAGTTGATAAAAGGAAGGCAAACTATCAGAATGCTTACAACTCAGCAGCGTAGAGCAGTAGTATTACCAACCTGCAGCTTCTCCAGAGTGAGGAGCGGGTAGAGCGCAGAGCATTGTTTCCAGAGCCACAGAAGCTCATCGTTAAGAGCCATCTCTGCAGCAGGGCACTGGTCGGTGTAATTGGCTAACATGGTTTGGGCGGGGTCACCGTTGCAGCAGCTGGGGTAAGGGGAGACTCCCCATAATGCTTTAGGCCGTAACCTTTTGACCTCCCGTAGAGTCTCCATCATTACTGACTGGGCTGCTGCCTCGAAGTCCACCTGTGACAAAATCAATAGATCACTTTCACTCCTCTCAAACCTGTTCTGTGATATAAAAAACATGCTTTTTTGAATAGTTCATATGAAATGGACATGACACGGCATAAAGTTTGTGACACAACAGAAATTTGCCAACCATTTGTCAGATTTCATCTGAGGTAGTTTCATTTGAATAGTTTTCTTTCTGACATGCCATCATGGACAATGTAACGGATCAGTGACCATGTTTTATGGTCGAATTTGATTCATGGGAGTTTAGCTTCAATATGCCGAAGTACCTTGATCTGTTAGGCATTTGAGGGAAAGGTTTTGGGAATGCTTTTTCACTTTCTTTCCCAGAGTTAGATGAGAGGATCGACACCAGTCTGTAAATTGACACAAGCCTACCGGCATCTTTAAAGCTCACTAATTAAGACGTCACATCTTAAACCGCTCAAAAATGTGGTGTAAAACCATCATGCCTGGGTTATGTACTATTTCTTGACCAGGAGTCACTGCCTGGAGTCTCTGCTAGTTGCCTAGCAACTAGATTTAGGAAATAATCCACAGCATAACACCCATAAAACAAATAAGTGTTATTTTTGTACAGATTAAGCAAAGTGGATATGGCATGTTATTTAGTGAGAGTTCTCTTTCTGTATTAGTGTATTTCCAAAAATGTCGAACTATACAGAAACACTCAGTGAGCAGTGTCAGAGTGGAGCCTTTTTCCTCACAAATGATGTTTGGCTGATGACAGACATCAGCCACAGAGAGCAACTCAAACCCGGCAACAGACAAGTTTAATTCTTGCCTGCTGTCAAATTACTGCCTGGGACATACCCATACTCCCCTCCTCTTCTTTAAGCATAAAATGGACCATCTTTACATTTCATCTGAATTCACATTGAGCTTCTTCTTTACATATTTATGCTTCCCTCTTCCCATTTCTTCTTTAATTCCTCTTTAAAGGTATTCACATAATCATGAAATATCATTGCCAATCTAATTATCGTACGTTACTGTAACAACCAAAAGCAAATGTGGATATTTGTGATTTTCATTGAGTAGTTTCTCTTGACTCAAGAAAAAAACTCTTTTGGAAGTTTGTTTATGGTTTTTGTTAGTTTTTTTTTTTCCATCTGAATTTTGTACATTCTACCACATGATGGTAGCATTCACAGTTTGCCCCCTCAACCTTCCTTCTTCTTTCTTTTTCATATTTACTCATCTATCTCCCTCCTTTTCATTTCATGCAGTCTTGCCTCTCGCCCTTACGCCTTGCCTCCAGTGCTGTCCTTTTCTTCTGCTACACTCCCTAGTTTCCCTGACTTTTCCTCACCTGTGACCACTTCTCCACCTCCTCCGGGGTCCAGTAAGGAAAGAAAGCCTTCAGCAGGTTTCTTGATGCCTCCAGATAGATTGCCTGCTTCCCCTGGTTCCTGGACCACTGGGGGGCCCACTCCGCCCACTGCAACACTCCCAACCCCAGGTACCTTGGGGCAGGTAAAGCTGCCTCCAGGTCCTGCTGTGTCTTCTGGAGGTGGTTGTCTAGGCGTATGTGCTGTGGTAGCCCCCTATTGACTGGTGTGTCTTTGTCTACAAAATACGGATAGTTTCCCAGTGTGTCCTCGTAGAAGACGGCCACACGGCCCTCCCGTTCCATTCCAAAGGATCTGGGATCTGGCTGCCCAGAGCAAGAAGAGTCAGGGATGCCCCAGAAGATGATAAAAGGCTGTCCATATAAGAAAGGAGGGCGGGCTTGCTGGGGTGGAGCGGCTGTACAAAAGTCTGCAAAGGCAGTAAACAGAAGGAGGAGGGACAGTAGAACTGGAGACTGGACTTGACGAATGGTTGATGAAACAGTCATGACTGATGGTTGAGTCCTGAAACTGTAAGGTGTCAGTTTTGCTTCTAGCTTTGGGTCCGGATGCAGCAGTGGCTCAGTCTGCGCCATTGGAACGGCCACCTCTGCCTCTCACCTCTTCAGCTGATCATGTTTCTGTAAAACACAGCAGAAGTAAAACCTTCATTCGTTTGTAATGTGATGTAGTCATTTACCAAAACAAGGCTGCTCATCTGTCCACATTCTACCAGTAGTCCCAGTATAAACTGTTCAGAGTGAGGTGCGTGTGCTATCCTGATGTACTGGGACATTATATCTTGTTGGGTGTCATTCATCTCCATTGTATTGGCGGTAACAGAAAGTTAGTTTCATTTGTCAAGAATAAGCAAGCAACATAACCATGAAAGACATAGAGTTATCAAAAATAAATAAATACATTACAAATGCGGGGCTGGCTGTAAGATGTAGCTGGTGAAAGAACCAATGCAGTAGAGGTTATGCATTCAATATTTTAACTGCAATTTGCTGAAAGGATTTGTTCAAATGTGGTGCTTGCTCGTACTTGTCAGGTTGCCTCTCTGGAGGCCATTATGTAAAAGCTCCTAGAGCGAGAAGGATGAGAATGTAATATGGAAAGATTTGTTCAGCTGCACCTGGTCTGCCTCTATTATCTCACTATTCTTTGCAGTTTTGCTTTGTTTCTAATGTTTACATTTCCATACCATAAACATTATAGAAGTTTCCACCATATTCTCATGTATATATTATTTTCAAGCCATGCCTTCTAGTCAGTGCAGTCGACTGACAAGTTGGTGAACTGCACCGTTTTTCCACTTCAGAGTATAATTTTAATTCCTTCCCTAAACTCTTCCTGCCTTCTCTACATCTCCCCTGTTACCTCAGTTATACGTCAGGCAGTGTCCTGTGCTAATTATTCATTCATTCATTTTCTACCTATTTTCTTAATCCCTGAGCGGGGTCACGGGTGGGGCCGGAGCCAATCCCAGCCGGCAATCGGGCGAAGGCAGGGTACACCCTGGACAGGTCGCCAATCCATCGCAGGGCTAACACATAGACAAACAACCACACACACGCACATGCACTCCTATGTAGACAAACAACCAATCAACACCAGTCAACCTAAGCTGCGTGTCTTTGGACTGTGGGAGGAAGCCGGAGTACCCGGAGAGAACCCACGCAGGCACGGGGAGAACATGCAAACTCCACACAGAAAGGTCCCAGGTGGGGCCCGAACCTGGAACCTTCGCGCTGTGAGGCAACGGCGCTAACCACTGTGCCACCGTGCTGCCCGTGTGCTAATTAATATTACAAAAATATTAACAGAATACAAGTTGTTAAAATGAAATAGTTAAAAAAAAATGCTCCTTTACCCATGTGACCCCCTTGCTCAAGGGGTATTTGTTGAGTTTTCCTTATAGTAGTGTACGGTCTAGACCTTATTAAGTGTTCAGTTGTGTTGTGATCTGGTGACTTCAGAGGTCATAGCATATGAGTCACATTATTTTCTTAAATGTGCATCAGCTATTTTGTGATCCGTAGTATCCTTGTTGAAAATACATGGGCTTGTTTTGCCTTTCCTTTTATTTGTTGAGGTTATAGCTTTTTGTGGGTTTTATTTCCATTATGGTTTATGTTTTTAGTCATATTTATCACATTGTGTCCCCGTTCTCTGATGTTAACAAAGGGCTTTAGAATTTCCTATTTATTTTTCTTCACCAGGAACCCCAGGACCCTGCCATATTTTGGTGAAAAAGGTGTGGCAGTTGCTTGTTAGTGGTGGCAGCTCGGCAACACAGATAGCCGCATGATCTCTAACAAGCCATTAAACGGAAAAATGTTCCGCTGAAGTATCAAGCTAGTGTCTGACAGAGGCAAGTGCAGATACAATTCAAAATGCCAAGGGATTCCTGTAATGTTAAACATGCCTCTTGCAAATAAATAGGCGAAGAGAAATCAGCACCCAAACTCCTGTGAGGCCTTGCACAGCTTGGCTGATTAGACTCGGGTGGAAGTGACACTATGTTGGAAATTACACTGTCACTGAACTATGTGGCATTAAAAAAGTAAATATGCAACAGAAGAGTGAGGCAACTGTCCATCATCTCTACATGCCCACGCAGTCGCGGGAAGACGGTTAATCAGGCTAAGTAAAAAAACACCTGTGCGGGTGGATCTTGGCTGTACAGGGACATTTTTAACAAATAACATACTGCCTGTGACTTTTCTGCAACAGAACTACAGTCTGTTTACAAGACAAAGCTGCTATAATGAAAGCTACTTCATTCTAATTCAGACCCTGGTATACAGTAATTTAGTTAGTTTTTTTTCTATCATAAAATAAACTAAGAAAAAGTGTTAATTGAAGTAGCCATTAATCCGAAATAAAAATCAAAAGCCATTTCACTTGCATTATATCTTACACACGAACATCTGGTGACTGATTATAAACAGCACAAATTATACTGATTTACAAGTTCCTTGTTAAATCTTTTAGAGATCATTTGGTATAAATATCTGTTAAGAGTTCACTTCATCATTAAAGAAAGAAAATAACCTCTTCCACATCAGCTTTAAACCACAGTTTTATAATGATCAGTTAAACTAAAACCATGGGTGAACAGACAACACAAATCAAAGATACAAGGGAGGACGTCTATAAGACCTGTGAGAGCTTAATAGTCATATCGGATAAAGTGGAATATTTGGAAGCACAAACCAAGCGAAAAAACTTGATCTTTGCGGGAATCAAGGAGACAGCTGGAGAAAGCTGGATGGATGCGGAGGGCAAAGTTAAGGAGATTCTTATAAACAATCTACAGATTGAACATGAAATTGAGATGGAGAGGGCTCACAGAGTCGGGAAACCCACCGATCGTGGTCCAAGGGCGGTGATGGTAAAGTTGAGGAATGAGAAAGACAAAACCCACATATTGCAGCAGGCTAAGAAGCTCAAAGGATCTAACATTTATATAAATGAAGATTACACCGAGGCTGTGAGGAAGAGAAGAAAGGAGTTGATGCCGAAGTTAAAGGAGGCCAGGGAGAGAGGAGACATCGCGTTTCTGAGATATGACCGACTAGTGATCCGTCCTCAGAACCTGGGACCAGGACCCAAGTCCAGCACGCCGAAGACCAGCATGCTGAGACAAGGAGTGGGAGGAGGGGCCCCTGGACCATCGGCTGTATGGGAGAAATACGAAGTATGATGAAACACGCAGGTGTATTGATATCGGCGATGGCAGATGAGTGTTGAATCTACAACACCAAGCATGAC